GTCTTCCGCGTGGCCACTTGCCGGAACTGAATCAGAGCCCCTTCTCGCAGCGATCGCGTGACCAACCTGGACTTGATGAAGCGGTGGCAGGTGTCCACCACGTGGTCCATCTGCAGGTAGACGGCAGTGTTCATAATGGCCATGATCAGACTCTCCCTGAGAGCCAGCCTGGAGGTGTACATGAACTCCAGCAGGATGGCAAAGCCCTCCGGGTCCACCTTGGGGTCCAGGCTGATGGCGTTGAGGTTGCACTTGTGCGAGTCAGTGAAGATGGTGTAGAAGAGCCCGCTGTGTGGTAGGCAATGACAAAATGAGCTCCTGTTGAGCTGTGGGACAGCTACAACCATTCTGTATGTACTGTTCTCCTTTTGCCATCTTGCTTAAGACCCCTCCAGGGATGGATACATTTTAAAAAAAAGTGAAATACATACCTGCAAGCCATGAGGACGGTCTTGTGTGCCCGGAACTGCTGCCTGCTGACCAGGATGGTAACGTCGGTGAGGATGTCCCGGCTGCGGAGGCGGTTCAGATTGAGCAAGACGTCGCTGGCGTGACGCGTGAACTGGATGCAGCTGTCGGTCAAGCAAGACATCCTGCCGACTTCTGGAGGGATGAGGGGGACCCACACACACAAAAAAAAATTGTACATTTGTACATTAGTTGCATGTAATTTTGAAGGCGCCCGTTGCATTTCACCCGAGTGCCATTAGAGGGCGCAATTTAGCCGACTACAACGCCGGTTTGGGACATTTAAATTTTGACACCCACTTTTTTTCTCCCCCCTTCTGAACCGCAGCTTTGAGGGAAACGCGGGTTGACAAGAAGAGGACAACAAATTATTTAAATGAATTACAATAAGGGGGGGGGGTAGTGCACAGCGCGAAAACGATTGGGCTGTGCACGGCAAAAAGTGCGTGACAGAACTATGTAATAAATAAAACTTGTTTAAACAATTTAAAAAAGGACAAATAGGAAACGTTTTAAAACATGCACATGCATCACAAACAATTTACATTTGCTTAATAAAAAGCAACTTTTATAACGCATTTTTACTCTTTTGACCATGCACCAGAATCCATTCAAAAGCTTTTCATAAGTGGAAAACCCGAGATTTAACACTTTAAAATAAGACGCATGTTCCAGTGATGTTTTGTTGACGGTTTAAACTTAAACTACATTCTCCCCCCCTCCATGCACTTTTTCCACATTCAATTCATCGGATTTTGCTGTACTTCATTTACTGTAATTTCTGCACTAGTTTTCCACCATGCATACTTGGCTGCAAATTCAATCTCTTTTAGCGGTGCAACACTTGCACAACAACGTTATTAAAAAAAGCATGCAACGTGCACACGCAGCCCCACTTTGCACAAACGTAAAGAGACAAGTTGACAACTCCACTTCGGCAACGCACGCACGACACAACACCATTATGCACATTTACACAGCAATGGCACGTTAACTGTACGCATCCCAACATTAAATTGTAGCGAATACATCATTTAGTTGAAAAAAAAA